CCATGAACCTCGCATGCCTTATTATTACCAAGGCGAACTACTCCACCTTGCACCATCTTCAAAGTTTCAAAGTATTCTATTCTTAGACACATGTGATAAGAGCAACCTGAGTCAATGATCCAACTATCTTCAGTTTCCAAATTCGATACTACTAGTGCTTCGGCATCCTCATAACTTTCCTCACCCAATGCAATTACAGCTTGAACAAAATCTTCATTGACATTTCTTTCAGGACAATCCATTTTAAAGTGACTGATTTTCTGACAATTAAAACATTTTATCTTTAACTTGTCAGACCTCTTTGATTTGGACATCCTTTTACGCTCACCTCCTTCTCTTGACACATTTAAGCCTTCACCCCTATTTTCAATCTTCAAATCTTTCGACTTTGAAAATTCTTTAGATTTCACCATCGTCTGGACTTCATCCAAAGTAATAGTACCTTCCTTACCATAAAGAAAGGCATCCTTAAAATACTCAAAGGATCTGGGTAATGAACTCAACAGGAGCAAAGTCTTGTCCTCATCATCAATCTTCACTTCAATATTCTCAAGATCATCAATAATCTTGTGAAATTCTATGAGTTGCTGAACTATGGATTTGTTCTCCACCATTTGAAATGAATAGAGTTGTTGTTTCAGATACAACCTGTGAGCCAAAGACTTTGTCATATACAATGATTCAAGTTTTGCTCACATAGCAACCACAGTTTGCTCCATGGCGATTTCTCTTAGAATTTTATCCCCGAGGCACAAGATAATGACACTCCTAACCTTATCCACCATCTCGGTCTTCTGTACCTCTATAAGCCTTGCAAGCATCAATGCTTCCTTCACTCTTCAAATCATCAATACACTTCTCTTTAATTAAAATTGCTTGCATCTTAATTTTCCACAACCCGAAATCGTCGTTACTGAAAAATTTCTCGATCTGTCATCTACTAACCATGGTGCTCACTTATTAACAGTATCTCTTTGCTCCACGCTCACCACACCAGTTATTGTGAATCTTGTTGTGAATTACGATAAAATTCAATATCAATTTGTGAGGCAAAGAACAATAGCAACCAAAATAAATGGTCTTCAGCAATAATAATCCGTACACAAATAATATAACATAATAAGGAAAGAAAAAAAACCAAAGGTTTGTTTACCCAGTTTGATCAAACGATCTACTCTGGGGCAAAGAGCAGCTTTCCAATTCACTATACTCAAAAAGTTGTTATAAGAGATTATATATGAGTTACAAGAAAATAGCATTCGCCTTCAGATTTCTAAGAACAACCCTGAAGGCGCCCAAGAACAACCATATTTTCTACCTAAGTGTTTCCCTACCTCTCCAACTCTCAATATATGAATCACTCAAATTCAATGTGTAATCCAAGGTTTTCTTTGGGCATAGCTGAAATCTTATGCTATACCTTTAAACCCTTGGTCTCCCTTGTTGGTAAAAACTTTAAGATTGTCACACACCAAACATATAAGAGATACATCTTTATAATAGAAAATATCCAACAAATAAAACCCAAAATCACATGGATCTATGGACCGAATCGGAAAAAAAAAACCTAAAAAATCAAAAACACTATTCACCGTATAGACGTCACTATTCATCCGCACTGATAACACTATTCATCGTACGTACGACATTATTCACCGATCAATTTTTTTCTTAATTTTTCGTCTAATTTTTACCATAAATACAATCTCCAAAATATGTTTTATTTCTCTTCACCAATAAAAAATTTAAGACACATTTATAACAGCCACTTATAACCATCATAAACTTTTCTTTTGTTTGGATAATTCAAAGTATTAATAAAGTGGTAGGGTGTTAAGCTTTTCTCCCACAAGGACAAAGGTAATTAAAGAGGTCTCATGTTTCCTAAATTTATCTCCTTTGCACCTTTCCTTAAGAAGATAACACATCTCATAGTATTATTGTGTCTTATATGATATTATTGCATCCTTCCGGATATTATTGTGTCATACGGGATATTTTTGCTGCCTCGAGGGTACCATTATTTCTAAAGGTATCGCCAACCAGCGTTTTAAACTCTAAAATCAATAACAAAACAACTAAACAAATTGATTTTTCTATAAAATAAAATATTTTCTTAATTCACATTTTATTTCTTTCTCTCTTAAATTTTATTTTTCTCACACTATCATTATATGATTATATTAAATTTTTTTCTAGTATTACATTCATCTTATTTTTTTTGCAGAAAACAATAATTATTTATAAAAAAAAAACTTTTTCTTCGAAGATAAAGATTATAAAAAAAGAAATGATTAATTCGAAATAAATAACACGTTTGTGTTTTGCTTAATTTTAACTTAAAATGTTATCCAGTTTCAAGTTAATTATATACACATAAAGACAAAGCATATTGTATAATTCATACTATTTCAGAATATAGACATGCTGTAAATACAATAATGTAAAGTTTGCTTGTGATTTACAAACAAATAATCTTATTTTTGAGCGTGACTCCTAAAGAAAAAGTCGTCCATGCCGTTGATTTCAATTATTACAGGAGTTTTGAGTTTTGCTTTATTATTTTTTTAATTAAAGAGTTGTTATATAATTCTAATAATTTTGAGATGAAGTTTTTAAGATGGCTAATTCTTAATTTAAGCGTAATAGATATAATTTGATTTTTTTTTATATTTTAAATATATTTTGATCAATGAATTACATTAAATTTGTTTTGATTATGCCTAAACAACTACAAAAAAATTTATACATTAATATTTATTTATTTTTTAAAATAAACATAATTAAAATGACAAAAAAAATTAATATAAAATATAAATTATATATTAAATTAATTATATTAAAATAAATAGACAGAGCGGGATTCCACTGAATAGGAATGTGTTTTCCGTCCTCATCCTTAAAATGTTGTTGGAAGAATTTTTCTCCTCATTTCGTTTTTGTAAAAAAAATTATCTTTCTTTAGAACTCCGAATAGGACAATCACCGCGTGATAATGCAAATTAATATTCCTAGTTGAGATAATATAAAATTGAGTTAGTGATATAGTGTTTAGGAGAGAGAATAATTTATTAATTAAGAGAAACAATGTAAAATTAGTTGAATAAATATTAATAATATATAAATATAAATAAAAATAAAAATAAAGAGAATATTATCCATAATTTTGAGTTAAAATTATTAAGTGAATTAATAACTTTTATATGTGAGATATAAGATTATGTTATATTTTATTACGGGATGAATCACAATTAGAGATGGACAATTATTTATTACTGTATACAGTGAATCACAATTAGAGATGAACGAATATAATATAAATTTTAATATAGTTATTGTATTAAATATTTCTACAACAAATCTTTATTTACTTTTTTTGTTTCATACACATAGGTTGCCGCCATTTGAGGTGAGTCAAATATTAAATGCACATATTTAAAGTTAAACACTAATTTATCATATTTGTGAGAATTTATCCATTCCATTAAATGCAGTCTCATTCTTAATAATTGTTTTTATGAACAACCTACCATATACTCCATTCTAAGGTGATATAGAAACTATATGGAAAAAATTCAATACATGGAAAACTAAAATCCACTCATATTCTTTTAAGTAAGGATTATATTAATCAACAGAATATTATGTGTATTTTATCTCTTAATATAAACAGTAAAAATGAAAAGAAATCGAGGATAATTCTGTTTCTGACAAAAGCCGACAAAACATCTGAAAATATGAATGTTCCATAATAAATCTAGAATATTACAACGAGTTTTCTTGAAACGAATGTTGTTCCTTACTTTCCAAATGTTCCACACCACCGCCGACTAAATAATATCGAAATTTCCCTTCTTCACTTTTTTAAAACAATCTGTTCTTATCCAATTCATATAACTTTTCAACAAAATCATCATCCACCCTGAAGAAGGGCTTTGAAAAAGACTAAAGTGAAAATAGATAAACTCTCCAAAAATGATTTAATCAATGTGATTCTCCCACCAATGGACAACATTCTCCCTTTTTAACTGGACAGTCTCGCCCTAAACTTACTATCCTCCACCTTGCAAGAAAGAAAATTTGCAACTGCTAACCAAAAGTTGTTGTTCAAGTTGATCCCGATCACTCTACTTTTGTGGAAATTGACACGTAAACCTCAAACATATTCGATGACTTAATGACCCATGCATTCTTCCAACTCTCATCTCCAAGAAACAGAGTGTCATCCGCAAACTGAAATAAATCAACTCTACAAAGGTCGTGAAAAGAGAAATCCTTGTAATCACGATCTCGGACGCCTTCCTAACCAACCCTGCTAACCCTTCAACCACCGTAACAAAAAAAAATGGAGAAATAGGGTCTCTTTGCCGTGATCCCCACTCGACCATAAAAATCTTTCGTAAGGTTGCAATTAACCAAAACGGACAAATAACTTGTAAAAACTAGAACTTCCATCCATTACATTCATAAAATTCCAAACCTCATCTTCTTCATCATATATATATATTAAAAATTTCCAATTCCCCATATCATATCATAAGCTTTCATGTTTTATTAGAAATCAAATATATAATTTTATTTTATATTAAATCAAATTCATTTGCAGCCGTTTTATGTTTTGTATTCCTTGACTATTGTATTAATATGTACAAATTCTCCTCTTACACATATAACTTTACAATGTTTATATTTAATAAAGCTTTTAAATCTATTTAATGAATTTTTTAAAATAATTTAATGATCAAAATTTCATCTTTAAAAAGATAAACACACATTTATTGTGGATGGCCTAAAAACTTATGCATAATAAGGCAACATGCTTATTGTTAATTAAATGAATATTATTTTCCCATTCTTAGCAACTCCTTCAAGTTGTTTGCCTATAAATACATTACATTGCACCTCTAAGAATCGCACTACTCACAGCATATACTCATTCATTCACATAAAACTCAATATTGAAGTGAGAGAATACAAAGAAAGTGAAAAAGAAACAAAAAATGGAAAACTTTCCAATTGTTGACATGGGGAAGCTTAACACAGAAGAGAGAAAATCAACCATGGAGTTGATCAAAGATGCTTGTGAAAACTGGGGTTTCTTTGAGGTACTAATACACTATTTTCTTTTACACAGTGAGTTTGACAGAATCACGATATATCTGTTATATGTTTTGTTGGTTTAAGGTTTTTTGTTAATGTTGTTTTGTGAAGTGTGTGAATCATGGTATATCTATTGAGATGATGGATACTGTTGAGAAGCTGACAAAAGAACACTACAAGAAGTGTATGGAACAAAGGTTCAAAGAAATGGTTGCAAGCAAAGGTTTGGAGTGTGTTCAGTCAGAGATAGATGATTTGGATTGGGAAAGCACTTTCTTTTTGCGCCATCTTCCTGTTTCTAATATCTCAGAGATCCCAGATCTTGATGATGATTACAGGTCTTTTTTTTTTTACAATATTTGTTAAAATTTTACACTGTCAATCCATCAAAATAATTATATTTTTGTGTTTTATCAGGAAGGTGATGAAGGAATTTGCGGAGAAATTAGAGAAACTTGCGGAGGAACTTCTTGACTTGTTGTGTGAGAATCTTGGGCTTGAGAAAGGGTATTTGAAGAAGGCTTTTTATGGATCAAAAGGTCCAAACTTTGGGACAAAAGTTAGTAACTACCCTCCTTGTCCTAAGCCTGAACTCATCAAGGGACTTAGAGCCCACACAGATGCTGGTGGAATCATTCTTCTCTTTCAAGATGACAAAGTCAGTGGACTTCAGCTTCTCAAAGATGACCAGTGGATTGATGTCCCTCCAATGCGTCATTCTATTGTCATCAATCTTGGTGATCAACTTGAGGTAACAATATATTTCACGCATTCATGCAGTCAGCATACCAATGACGGTTGGATCTAGACTGATCCATCTCTATCCAACAATCATCATGCTGACAGCGTGAATGATTTCTCACTTTTTATGAGTCATTTTGTATGTCAAATAAATATGTTTGTATTAAAGTGAAACCAAAAATATTTTTGTGTGTGAAAATAGGTGATAACCAATGGAAAGTACAAGAGTGTGATGCATAGAGTGATAGCACAAACAGATGGAGCTAGAATGTCCATAGCATCATTCTACAATCCAGGGGATGATGCTGTGATTTCACCAGCTTCAACCTTATTGAAGGAAAATGAAACAAGTGAAGTTTATCCAAAATTTGTGTTTGATGATTACATGAAACTCTACATGGGACTCAAGTTCCAAGCTAAAGAGCCTAGATTTGAAGCTATGATGAAAGCCATGTCAAGTGTTGAAGTGGGACCAGTAGTAAGCATATGAAGAAAAAAAAAAGCATATTATTATTATTGTATAATGTGTGGTTATATTATATTATATTAATGTTTGGTTGGTGTTTAAGATTGTGCAGAGTCTCTAAAGTGTGTAATATTAAAAAATAAAGTATGATTAGTTTGATGTTAGATTGTGTGTGATAATTAATCAGTTATGATTAACTGATTAAGTTTATGTAATGCGATGCAGTGATTTTGAACTGTTTTCGTAAAGCAAAACATGGTGCTGTCCCTCATGATTCCTCTTTGGCTTATTGTGCTTTCTAATAAAATATCATTATTCTTCATGCATTAAATCAAATAATTATATTGTTACAGATAGAAATATTCGTTTAAATTTATTCAACACCAATGAAAATGATCGATGAGTCTCGTGTTCTTGGTTTTAGCTATGTTTAGATTATCTAAAGGCGAAGAATTTGTCTTTTCTTTTTCATCATTAATTCTTTTTCCCTTGTTCCTTTGTTTTTTTCTTTAAAGAATGTAATAATCAATGTCTTTTCAATCTTTTATATTAATTTACTTTCTAAACATTGAGATAATTCATTTGATTGATATACTTTGTTTGTAAATTATGAGTTTCCAATTTGAGGAAGTAATAATAATACATATTATCAACTACTATTAGAGAGTTAACTACCAAAGTAGAATTTTTATTAGTTTTATTAACATTCCAAAGTTGGTAAAATAAATTAGTATCTTTTTGGCTGTATAAACCAACATAAAAGGAATATCAACAACATAGGGAAATTAAATAATTGAGGAAAAGTAGGTCGGTTTATTGTTTTGGTAATAAGATAATAGTTTTAAAATTCATTATGATTTGCTATAAAACTTGTGCAGAGAATTTCAACTGTGTTTAATTGGGACCACAAATTACCATTTCACCCATTTCTGTCTAATAGGAATAATAAATGGATGTTGTGTTAACAATGATTATATTAATGTATAAAATGTAAATATAATAGAAATAAAATTTAGTGAGTCGAGAAAAATCAATGTATTATTTTGTAGTGAAATAATATAAGTATTAATATAATTGTTATAAAACTTATAGTTATGCGGACTTAATAGACTACTTGTGGCTCATATGAGCTAACCTTAATGGATAACTGATTTTTTAGGGCTGGGTTAAAAATATAGACTTTAATTTTAAGACCAAAATTCTATGATTTTTCAGGTCTGACCGATTCATATTACTAACTCATTTTGAGAATTCTAAGGGTCCAAAATTTATCAAATTTAAAACATAATTAAATAATATTTCAAAAAATATTTATCACGATGTGTCTGGGAGTCTTACATATCATGAAACCCAGTCTTAACTGTATCGTCCTTAAATAGTCAACTATAGGTATAACACGACTAACAATTAAAACTAAAATTTCATAATAGCAAAGACCGTAGTATGAATCAATGGTTAGATGTTTTCTGATACACAAGATCCTCATTTAGAGGCAGGTGTATAGCATACTTGCATCTATGGGGGAACTATGATATGAATACAATAACTAAAGCTTTGAGGGAGAAAGAAAATATTTTTAGAACATGTTTGTTCTTAAGCACACAAGAGAGTTTATTTGTGATTGTTTGATGAAAATATGTTACAAGAGCTCTCCTTCTATAGCCAAGGAGGTACATATAGGTGTTACCTCTTAATTTCGCTCTGCATGCCTTCGAATCCTAGAAGCTCTCCACGTGGCTTCTTTGAGGAATTGATGAGACCGAACTTTCCCTTCTTTATTTGAATTCAAACCTTCCTGTCAAAATGCCTTCAGTGACACTTCTGTTGAATCGAATCTTCCAACTTCTAAGAAATATCTCTAAGTCCGTAACATAGATTCTCTTGGCGAAAGGACGCTTTCGACTCAAATTCTAAAAATATGACTTCAGTCGAAGTCATTAAATTTCTTCAGAAAAACCTATTTCCTACTTTTAATCTCATTCAGGCGTCGAAATTAAGAGGTAACACCTATATGTACCTCCTTGGCTATAAAAGGAGAGCTCTTGTAACATATTTTAAAAGACTCCTGAGGGAGTTTTACTTAAATTCCTTAGTAAATCAGAGGCATATTTAGCCCTTTCGATTATCCACAATGGGTCATGTGGGGCGCACCAGGTAGGCCATAAGATGAAATGGCTATTGTTTTGACAAGGCATGTATTGGCCCACCATGCTAAAAGATTGTATTGAATTCGTTAAAGGGTGCCAAGAGTGCCAAGTATATGCAGGTATACAACATGTTCCTGCGAGTGAGTTGCATTCCATAGTCAAGCCATAGCCCTTCAGGGGCTAGGCTTTGGATTTGGTTGGAGAAATTTGACCAGCGTCATCAAAAAACCAAAGGTACATTTTAGTAGGTATCGATTATTTCACAAAATAGATCGAAGCTATACCTTTGCCAAATTTCGACCAAGAACATGTAATCGAATTCATCAAAAAACACATTATTTATAGATTTAGAATCCCATAAACCATTACAACGGATCAAGGATCAGTTTTTACTGGTCGAAAAATGCAAGAATTTTCCAAGGAAATGGGTTTCAAATTGTTAACTTCTACGCCCTATTATGCTCAAGCCAATGGTCAGGTCGAAGTAGCAAATAAAATAGTGATTGGGCTAATTAAGAAACATGTGGGGAAGAAGCCCAGAAATTGGCACAAGACTTTGGATCAGGTGCTTTGGGCATGTTGAGCTTCTCCCAAAGAATCAACTAACGCAACTCTATTTCGATTAACGTTTGGCCATGATACAGTGTTGCCAGTGGAAATCTACTTACAATCAACAAGGATTCAAAGGCACCATGGGATTCCATCAGAATCCTACTAGAACATGATGTTAGATAAGTTGGTTAATTTGGATGAAGAAAGGCTTAATGCCTTAGAATTGTTAAGAAGGCAAAAGAAAAGAGTAGAGAAATCCTATAACAAGAAAGTTAAGGTTAAAATGTTTTCGCCAGAAGAATTGGTTTGGAAGGTAATTTTGCCTATGGATCGAAAGGATAGGGTCTTAGGTAAATGGTCCCCTAAATAGGAAGTCCATTTTCAAGTTATACAAGTCTTTTTTAATGGCGCGTATGAGATTGAAAAGTTAGATAAAGATAAAAGAATCTTGAAGGTTAATGGAAAATATTTGAAAAAATATAAGTCTGCACTTCAAGAGATAAAAATAACCAAAAAAACAATCATGCGAAAAAAGACAAAGCTAATATGGTAGATAAATATGCCAAAATGGCTTAATTCGTTACAGAAAAAGGCCACAAAAGGCCAAAAGCCATGATTAACAAAAGAAGAAAAAATGCTACAGGATAAATTTAGAAGGGAAGAGAGCCTTTCATATTTTTGTACTTTGACTTTTGAAGCATCAAGCGATGTTCGCAAAGAGTTTTATTGGTCGAGAGAGCTTCAATCTCTTTCCCAAGTTGTTGAGCTTTTTCAAGATGTTGAAGGCCAGCCTAGATCTCTTTTGCTACTTCATCTTTGACAGAGCTAAGCAGATTGGTCTTGCGTTACTTGGATTGGGAGATTTTGTTTTGCAAAATAACAATTTGCCTCTCCCATTCTGTAATGCTCTTGTCACATTTTTCAACCTCTTTCTTATTCTGCTCAGAAAGTTTCTCAAGTGTCGAAACTTTTCAATAGACGTCGAGACAGCCTCCCATGCAAATTTTTGATTGCCAGTTTTTGTGGTAAGGTTGCTTGAGAAGTCTCTGAGGCGGTTGATATCACCAGCAACAAGATCGATCAGCGTACTCAGTTCCATAACAACATTAGCCACTTCTAGAAAAACTTCCAAAACATTGATTTGCTTCAGAAGTTTCTTGAGACCAAAACTGATAGAAACATCTTGTTCTAAGATTTGGAACAAGTCCACTGCAAATATTTTTTCTTTAATCTGCATAATCAAGTTATTGTCAGTTTTCCCAGTCAGAGGGTTCCCTGAGGAGGTCGAAGTGCTGGTGTTTTTTTCGCCAAAGTTGTATTGGGAACTGAGCATAGCTTTTAGATACTCCAATGGTCGTTGTACTTTTAAAGATTCCAGCTCTTCGTGAGAGTGGCTGGTTGATTGAGTACCAGTCGAAGCAGTAGCTGGAGGATCCTTGAATTGATTCTCTTGGTCCACTTTTTCTTCTAGGACGTCCACTTCAATTTCTGCTTCAGGTGCAGTTTGCTCTCCTTCTTCCTCTTCTTCTTTCTCTTCTTCATTTTCCTCTTCCTCTTCTTTTTCGTCTTCTTCTTCTTTTCTTCTTCTTCTTCAACAAGCTTTTCATCTTCACTTTGTTGCTCCTCACGATTACCCTCAATACTTTTTTCTATATTGGGCATCATAGTATCCCCTGAGAGATCTACAATTTCTTTTTCGACCAAGTCCTCTTTTGGAGTGGCTACCTCGACATGAGGAAATTCAGCCGCAGGAGTGATTGGTGTCTTCTTAGGAGCACCTGCAGATTAGTTTCCTTCCTTAGATCCTTTATTGGAGCCTTTCCCAGAAGCCTCAGAAGAGTTATTGGATGATAGTTGGGATCACTGCTGGTTGTTGGAATAATCTGATGCACCATGGGCTGACCTCTAATGTTGGTGGTAACCTAAAAAGAGAAAAACCAAAGAATTATAGGGATAAATGGTTAAGAAAATTGTGAATTTCCAGGTGAAATATTTACCTTGGGCTCATCAGCCCCAGGACTAGAGTTATCACTCTCAGTCTGTGCTGCATTGCAAGTAGGGGACACTTTTGTCGAGAGTTTGCCAGCCTTTGACTTCGGTTGATTGAAGGCTTCAGTTATTTTTTCCTGCTTTCTCCTCCTTTTCAGGGTTTGTTCTTCAGAAGAAGATTAGTATTCCTCATCCGACTCAATTATGATTTGGCTGGAGGCTCCTCTCGATTTTTGCTTCTTCGGAGTGAGGGGTGGTCTTCGAGAGCTCTGAGGAGAAAAGAGTTGAAGTATCAGAAAATATGATATTTTGCAGTAAAGAAGAAATAAGTAAGAA